CATTCCTGGGTTCTGTAGTTTGAAGAACTTCAGTCCTTCTGTGAATCCGTGTCCTGAGAGCTTTCCTGAGCTCACTTGGGAACTGTGCGCTCTTTTCACACTAGGTCAGCGGGAGCATGGAAATTAGTATTTACTGTAAACGCATCAGGAATTGGCTCGCCACTCAAAACCAAACAAACCCCACAAAACTCAAAAATGGAGTTTGAACTTGCTTCTCAGGCTACAACTGGCTTTAGAATCCCCCCAATAAGCCATTTATTTGAGTCCTATCTGGCTTAAATTTTCTTAAAAAAAAAAAAAAAAGCAATTTCATTACAAGATTGTGCTCTTTTTTGGCCAGGAGGATGGGAAACCAGTTACAGAAACTGTTGGCATGCTTTCCAGCAAGATTCGCAGCAGAGAACTTCTTTTTAAAAATTAAAAAATGTTTTTCTGGGGCGGGAGAGGGTGGGAGGGCTCCTTCTGCGTGACTCAGCCCTGCCTGGGGACATTTCTCTTCAGGGCAAAAAGCCCCTGTGTCCAGTGAGGTGAAGCTTGCAAATAATACTGTCACCTTTCTCAATAGACTGGTATGGTCCGGAGCCCAAAGGTCACACCAGGCAACCCCCCTGGTGTTTAGAGACAAAGCAGTAACCAGCTGCCTGTTTGCCTTGAATCATCCCATGTACTGTAATGGCGATGGTGGAGGTGGAGGGAAAGTCACCCCCCACCAAGGGCTTCCCCAATGTTTGTTTGTTTGTTTTTTTTTTGATTTGGGCAAAGTTAAGCATGCAGACATGAAGCAGCATGAGGTCATTCTCAGCTGGGTGAGTCACAGACACTGAGGACTCTCCAGGTTCGGGCAGGAGGGATGAAGAAACCAACCCCTCTGCAAGGAAAAGGCCTCTGGTCTTTATTGGAAACTGAGCATTCAGGCAGCCCAAGCTGGGAGCCAGCGGGTTCCAGGAGCCGAGGATCTCCCAATTTGTTCTTTTAGAAACATTTTTGTCCCGAACACATTTTCCAAAGGCCTTTTTGCCTAATCCATTGTTTTATCTGCCCAAGGTATAGACTTGTCAGGAGAGGATGTTCAATGTTATTTCTAATCACCGTGTGATGGATTGCACATGCAATGGATTTGTATGAGTCAGTGTATGCATGTGGTTCTGTCGGTTACACATGTCTGTTTGTGTATGATTATGAATGTGTGCATGCACTTATCTATTCCTGTATAGAAGTAACTATGTTTATAAGTATGAATGGGTGCATATGTGGGTATAAATACACACTTGGATGTACACATGTGTACCTGTACTGGACACTTGGGATGACCCTCATCCTCTAGCCGGTAAGGGATCCAGCTTCTCAGCTCAATGGGAGCAGCTTGCCTGTCCTGACACCTCCCAGGGTGGCCCATGGCTCACCAACAAGGGGACAAACCCTGCCTTGTAGGTATAACCAACTTTATGGTGCAATTCATGCTCCAGGGCCCCCTGGCAGATCAGGACGAAACTCAACTCCAGCTGAGACCAATCCCTGCCCTGTCCTCTTCTTCCCTTTCCCCTGGGAGCACTCCTTCAGCCTGACACATGCATCTGAATCCCTGTCTCAGGCTCTGCTCTAGGTGGCGTGGCCTAAGAAAGTGTATATATGTGCATGTGTGCGTATATACAAATATACATGTGCACACATTTGTATGTGCACGTGCCCACATACAAGGAAATTGAGAAGGATCTGGGAGAAGAGATAAGATGGAAAAAGAGCACTGATTTTCTACTGTGGAAGATAAAGGCATCTCAGACATAGAGCACGAGAGACCTGCTTTCAAAGTTGAAAATTAAAAGATCCTTCAGATGTAAATGTACTTTTTATTAAATCAGAAAAAGATACAGTATACATGGTATCAGTCAATCATATGGCTACTTTGGATTACATTTTAATACACTCATCGTCCTATGTACTTCTCTGTACAAGTATTAAAAAAAACTCAGGTATTTGAATAATCTTCTGTAAATTTTTATTATTAACTGGGGTTATAGGGAGGGTTTATCAGAGCACATCCTGAGAACATTAGGAAATTACAGACAGACTTGAGATAAGTGTCAGACAGAACAGATGAAGCAAGCCCCTCAGCCATCTGAGAAACATTAATAATGTAAGATTGCAGAGACCGAAATCTTTGTTAGGGATGCAGGATGCGGGATGAAAATGGAGACCTTGGCGCCCCCTAGTGTTGCAAAATAAACTCGCAACTTCACTTACTCGGTTTGGTTTGTTTCTTTTTGAAGTTGTAATCCCCACCCTTGTCACTGAGCCTCAAAAAGCAATTGTTTTCCCAAATTATGTCAAGCCCTCTCCAGTCAATCTTTTCCCCCTCGTCCGTAACGTTCAAGAACCCTATTTGAAAAACAACTCTTATTCATTCCTTTGTCATTCCCCACACATTCCGTTCCAGAAAATTGGCAACCTCCCAACACAGAGCCCACGTTTTCCCTCCTTGAGACATGAACTTAAACAAATGGATTCTTGTCTCTCCTCTTCAAGCTGAGAGGATGAGCGTGTATTTACTACAAAGCTTAATCCCTTCAGGCAGGCGTTTTCCTTCTGCAACTTACTCATCACCGGCCATTTTTCATAACTTCACCAGAACGCAGTCCTCGGCCCCCTCCCCCTACCTGCTTGGCAACCATCGACTCTTCTGACCTGGCTCGTTAACCTGCTAAACCATCTTGACAGTTATTTACCAGGAAAGACTGGACCAGAGACAGAAATAATACACCTCAATATACAACAGCTCAGGCTTAATTTGTAGGCAGAATTTCATTTGATGGCCATCAGAAGAAAAAATATATACATGGAGCGGGGTTGGGGAGGAGGTTGAGTAGGGAGAAGACCTCTTGGTGGCAGAACTTGGTGGGAACCGTGGTGATTTGTTTACTTGGATTTGCCAACTGGTCCGATGGATACGGGGTCTGTTTGCACTTGAGCGTCCAACATCTGCTTTGGTCCCTGGAGAGAAATATACAAGAAGTTGCATCCTAGTGAAGAGCTGTAATATCAACAGCAACAACTGCCATTTATTTAGCACCGACTCTGTGTCACATAAATACACCGTATTCGTGGGCAGTGGGTAAGAGAACGGTTTCCAGTGAGATGCCCGAGTTCAGTGCCCGGTAATACTACTTTCTAGCGTTGTGAAATCCTGGACAAATGGCGGAACTCTTTGTGCTTCAGTTTCCTCATCTTTAGAATGGAGGTGATAACATTTATCTCGGAGGGGTTGTTCCAAGATAAAGTGAGTCCTGACTTGTAATATACTTAGTACCTGGGCTGTATGTAGAAAACCTGCCACAGTTAGAGCTCACTTCCGTCACCCTCTCTAATCACTTTCTAACCACACTGCCTGTTTGCTTTTCTTACAAAACGTATCTTTGCAAAGTTTTCATGTAATGCCAAGTAGGCTGCTTTCTGTTAGAATCCAAGCAGCATATGGAGGAGGAGGGAAAAAGGGGCAGAACGAAGGGGATGTCACCAGGAGGGCAAAGGTCACGCAGGGAGTGGTTGGCAGTGCAGTCTCTGAGAAGCTGACCTGAGGGCTGAGGCTGGGCTGGGCGGGGGTGAGGGGGGCCAGAAGCTCTTTTCCTGTAGGTGACAAGGCCTCGATGGGTCCCTGGCTAGTGTCAGTCCCGCTGCTGGCACTGCCCTCTCAGGAAAGGGGTCAGACAACCCCAGGGAAATGTGTCCAGCCTGGCAGTCCTCAGGGCTTGATCAGATCCTTGCAAAGTGGCAGGAAACCCCTCCCTCCTTCTCCACCACTGTTGGGAGTCTCCTGACAATGGGAAGGTGGAGGACTTGAAGAATAAGCATTTCTACCTCAAAGGGACGTTGCCGTAATTAAAGAGATGATGAATATAAGTGAAGCACAGCCTCAGAGGAAGGGCTCGGTGACTTGAACTGTAATTTCTGCTCTTGCCACTCTATAGCCATTTCTGCACTATAGCAGCAAAATAGTCTTCAAAGGCTATAAACAAAGGTCCAACGCTTCCTTGCTTAACACCCTTTAATAGCTTCCCAATTTAAGTAGGATTATGTCAACATTCTTTGCACAGCCTGTACAGCCAGCATGAGCTGCCCCCTGTTCCAACCTTAGCCACTTTTATTATTCACCTAGCTCCCACCTCCCAGCAACGGGGGCCTCAAACATACAAAGCTCATTCCCACCCCTGGGCCCTTGCACATGCTGTTCCCTCCTGCTGGAACAAAGAGCCTTGCTCTCTTCCTGTCTGGCACCGATAATCAATCCTGTCTCATCTCAAATATTATCTCCTCAGAAACACTTTCTGGATCCATAGATTCCAAGTTGCACACGTACTGCTGTCCTCAGCCCCAGCGTAACCCTATCACATTACCATGTTTATTTCCCCTCCGTGACTTCCCACACTCATATTTTTGTGTTTTAATTTATCTACTTTATAGTTCCATGCGTCCCACTAGAAAGTGGGCCTCGAACTGAGGTTCTACACACATACTCAAGGACACAAGGACGAGACAGAAATAGATGACATTGATCATAACATTTTAAACTTGGGGCCTGAGATTCTCTATTTCTAAGAAACTCCCCAGAGATGCTTCTAAAGACCAAACTGGGGCCAGAGGAACCACAGCCCTCACCTAACCTCTATCTATAATATTAGAGGGCACCAATGTCTACAGATATTCATGACACGGAATACTTAGGAATGATTAGGGCAGTTTGCTTCACGTAACTACCCCATCTTCACTGCAGCATGAAGGTGAGCCCCAGTTCACTGGCCCCATAGCTGACGCCAGTAGTATCTCCTTGCCTGGCCCTCCTGGCTCAACCCACGTTCCCACGGGCCCTGGGTATGATTGATTTCACTTGTCTCTCTTTCTTATTATTCGGGTGATGATTCTTCAGACTCTCCCTGTTTGCCAGGATTTACGTTATCCCAGATACAATGAAACCTTTACTAGTATCGTATTTCACTCCATCTATTCGTTCATCAACAGACACTGCTGGGGTGTCGACTGTGTTTCAGCCACACGCTGGCGGGATGGAGGGGACAGCGCGTCTGCCCGTGACAGGTCTGGTCACTGCCTTCCCTAAGCTAACGGTCTGAAGAAGGGGACAGAGAAGAACCAAACAGACACAAATAAAGAACCCCAAGCTTAATTCATTATTTAATGTCTGGCCTCTACTCACCCCTCACCGGACTTCCCCAGAGGGAAGGAGCTAATAAGTTTTAGCCTGGTCTGAATACCCACCACCCAGGGCCAGGCTCAGAGCGGCTTCCCTGGTGCAAACTCCACGAGGCTGACTGTGGCCACAGACGAGCATCCCTGCTTCTCACCATCACCTGTTCCTGCCGACCCAGCCCATCCTTGTATCCCCTCTCCTCCAGCCAGACTGAGCCTCAGATCCGTGCCGTCTCCCCCCCACACCTCTGTTCCCACGGCCTGGACCTCACCTGCCTTCAGACTTCCCCTTGCCTCGTCCCTCTACAGGTTAACTTGAGGCCCCGCCTCACATGGAAGCTCTGAGAAGCCCCCGCCCCCCTCCTCCCAAACCCAAGGCCAGGCCACGTCCTCACCCTCAGGCTCCCTTCCCCTGCCGCCCCTGCCTCCCAGCTCCGCCACCCCCACCCTCACCCCCCACCCTCAGCGTCACATCTGCCTGTGGCCGCGGAAAAGCGATGCCTGCGCCCACCTTGCTCTCTGCGCCTGGCACACAGCAGGTCCTCGGTGTTTAGCCAAGGCCCAGCCACCCCCTGGCCAGCCGGTCCCGTTTGGAAAAGCCCAGAAAGACGAGGCGAACTGTCCACCCACCAGGCTGCTCTCTCTGTGAAATGCCTTTTCTCTCTCCTCACCTGGTAAAATGTGTGCTTTTCCATCCATCCTTCAGGGCTCAGTTCTCCCTAAAGCCCAGAAAGACGAGGCGAACTGTCCACCCACCAGGCCCTTGAAGAAGCCCCCGAGGGGCGGTCGCCGCTTCTCGGGCCTCTTCTGGGACTTGTCCCCGTCCCGCAGCGAGTTCGCCTCCGCCGGGGCCTCCACGCGCGGGGCCGGCTCGTTGGCTTCCTGCTTGCTGCTCTTCTGCTTCTCGGTCTCGGCAGACGCCTTCTTGTCCTTGGAGGAGCCCTCTTTGCCCTTCTGGCCAGCGGCTGCCGGCTCGGACTCCGGCGGCACCACCGCCTTCTCAGCGGACTCTGGGGCCTAGAGCAAGTTCAAACCAAATGCATTTTTAGTGGCTGCAAGACAACGCCCAGTAGCAGGTGAGTAAACATGTTAAAACAGAGATGTTCAAAGGTTGGATGGTGCCTACGTGTTCAGGATTCCTGGGTGAGATGGAAAAAAGTAAGAAAAATGTGTAAATACTTTTTATGGTATGAGGTCACAGTGGGGACATTTATTTACCAATCTGATCATTCATTCATTAATGAAAACTTCCCCAGCAAGCATTCTTTACTCCTCCTTCAGGAACTAGAACCTGGGCTTTCCCTGGAGAACCACCCGTCTCTCTGGTTTATTCCCTGTGGTTTCGACACACTCATTTCATCCCTGGACAAAGGGCACACGACTCAGGCCTGGCCAGTCAGAGCACTGCATGTGATTGGGCTGCTGGGATTGGTTCCAGCTGGCCAAAGGCAGCTAAACCTGAGCTAATCTCAGGGCTTTGCTAAAGCAACCGAGAGAGAGGTCAGTTCCCTTTCCATGAACTTGAAGCTGGGAAGATGAAAGCCTGGAGCTTCCAGAACCACCACCATTTCCAAAAAAAAACCCTGGAAGTGGAGTTTCTTTTTTCTTGAAAAATGAACCATGAGGCACGGAGGAAAGCAGAGCTGAGAGATGAAGAGAGAGAAAGGGAAAAAGAGCCCTCGTATGGATGGCATTACACATGCCCCTGGATCTCACTGTTCCTGAAGCCCCTTTTTGTATGAGCCAGCTTTGAGAGGATTTCTCCCACTTGCAACCACATGTTACCCTTCTTGGGGATGCCCGGTCTTTTCTTCATGATTATGTCTATCTTAATTTCTGGCGTGAAACTGTCATTTCATAAAACAGTGGTAAAAGAAGATAACTGTTTTAGTTTCGAACATACATCTTTTCATGGTAAAGTGAAATGTCTGCATTCCTACTTGGTTCCTACAATTTGGAGGAATAAGGCTGTAAAATCCAAAATTCTAGGTAAATTACCGACAACCAAAAATCTGTTAGGAAGTAAAATACTTTTCCCCATAATTTACTTGAACTGAAATGACTCTGGGGGCCAGACAGATAAAACGAAAACATGAAAGAGGCTAGGGGTAAGAATAATCATATGGTGAACTCATTTCCCCAGTTGTGAAAGCAGCATAAAGCCAAGGAAATATTTCTCTAGTGTACGAAAAACAGTTCAAGCTATGCTGGCTTTGATGTTGGGGAGACAATTTGCAGTAGGGGGGACTGTGGTGAACTGAATGCCACATGCCTTGTCTAAAGGGGCCACAACTGCTCAGACCCACCAAAAGATACGATGTGGGATTACAGCCCCAGTGCTGTCATATCTTCTATGTTTTCAGGTGGAAACTTGAAATCGAATTATTTTCAATGCAAAATATGTCAGTTTAAAAATATTGATATATCGAAAGTTTTAAAGCCCTGTTCACAGCAAACAACCACAACACAATTATCCCTGTGGGCTACATTTGGCCCACTGGATACATACTTACAACTTATGATTCATAAAATTTATGTGTTGTCCCCAAGTCACAAAGTTCTATGACAAAGTGACAGTTTTGATTCATAGGGCATAGAACTGTCATTTCACATCAGTGAATCAAACACACCCCTTAGAAATGAGCAAGAAAACAGAGAAAATTCCCCTGTCCCGAAGGCCTCCCCAGGCTGCAGCGCCCTCCTGGAGGGCAGAACTCCTTGGAGAACAAAGCCTCAGACATCCAGTGCAGCCCAAGAAGATGTTTTATAAGCACATATCCTGAATATTTCTGTCGGATCCCAGTTGCCAAAGTTGTAGCAAATGCTAAGATACAGATGTCGAGTATAACAGAGGGCCTAGAGCAGATACTCGCCTTAGAAAGAGACAGAAACTCCCACCGTGCTGCTCTGTACAAAGGCCAGAAACCAGTGACCCTGCTCAAACACCCTGTTAACTGTTTTTGTTGCATAGAAGATTTTAAGATACAGTGAGTAGCTAAAAGCTTAGTGTCTGGAGTCAAAAGAACATGGTGTGGGGATTTCCCTGGTGGCGCAGTGGTTGAGAATCCACCTGCCAATGCAGGGGACACAGGTTTGAGCCCCGGTCCGGGAAGGCCCCACATGCCGTGGAACAACTAAGCCCGTGAGCCACAACTACTGAAGCCCATGTGTCACAACTACTGAAGCCCATGCGCCTAGAGCCCGTGCTCCACAACAAGAGAAACCATCGTGGTGAGAAGCCCGCGCACCGCAATGAAGAGTAGCCCCAGCTCGCCGCAACTAGAGGAAGCCCGTGTGCAGCAATGAAGACCCAATGCAGCCAAAATAAATAAATAAATAAGTAATAATAAAATAAAAGATTAAAAACAAAAACAAAAACATGGTGTGGTTCTGGTTTCATCACATCCTTGCTGTATGACCTAGAATAAATGGTGTGATCTCTTAGCTTCCTCTTCTGTATGGGAGTAACAAACAAACAAACAAATCATACTTCATGGTGTTGTGAGGATTAAATTAGCTAGTAATGGAAAGCCCACTGCACACAGCGTCTGGATGCCAAGCATAAAGGGACCAACCATCTTGGTCTGTCTGGGAGTGAGTGGGTTCTAGGATATGGAACCTGCATTTTTAAAACCAGGAACGTCCCGGGCCAACTGGGATGAGTTGGTGGTCCTGGCTTAACACTACCAGCAGCGACTCTGAGTGGCTGAGCATCCAAGCTGCGGGTGTAGACAAGGCGCTCAAGAAACACAGACACCTGCTGAATCGAGTCCCCGTGTCTCTCCAGCCTCATCTTCTATCGCACCCCACCCCCCGTCCCCCCTGCTCATTCTGCTCCAGCCACACTGTGCTTTTTTTTCTTGAACAAACTTAATTCTCAATTCAGAGCTTCGTACTGGCTGTGCTTCTGCTCGGTCTGCCTACAGGGCTTCAGATGACTGCTTCTTTCCCAGAAGGTCTCAGCTCAAATATCATCACCTCCTTGGAGACACAGTCCCTGATTAGAGGGTCTAAAGATGCCTGACCCCATTCTTGTGGAACACTGCTGAATTTTCTTTTCTTCTTTTTTTTTTTTAACTACCTTTCCCTATTGTATTTTTTTTAAAAAATTTATTTATTCGGCTGCGTTGGGTCTTCATTACTGCACGCGGGCTTTCTCCAGTTGTGGCGAGGGGGGAGCTACTCTTCCTTGTGCTGCGCGGGCTTCTCATTGCGGTGGCTTCTCTCGTTGCAGAGCACGGGCTTCAGTAGTTGTGGCACATGGGCTCAGGAGTTGTGGCACGCGGGCTCAGTAGTTGTGGCTCACGAGCTGTAGAGCACCGGCTCAGTAGTTATAGCGCAGGGGCTTCGTTGCGCCGCAGCATGTGGGGTCCTCCCGGACCAGGGCTAGAACCTGTGTCCCCTGTGTTGGCAGGCGGATTCCTAACCCCTGCGCCACCAGGGAAGCCCCTGAATTTTATGTTTGCAGTCATCGCGGGGATTTCTTTGCTCACTTGGAAATGTTCTGGTTCCCTCCGGAGCACGAAACTCCTCTGTGTCTCTTCCATTGCTTTATCCCCAGCACCTCACCTGACACATGGTAAATCGCCGTCAAAATGGGCTGAATGAATGGCCAGCAACTCGCCTTGTATTTGGAAGTTCCCAAAATACTTCCCTTAGCACATCACTCGAGTGTGAAGTGGGAAGTCTCTACAAACCAACAGCTCTCATGGGACACTGATTTCTTTTTTCAAGAGGGGAGCTTTCAATGCGTCGTATCCATTTACCACATGGTTATTACTCCATCCCTATTAGGCCTAAATTTTTTTTTAGAATGGCTTAGAAACGAACTTCTGGAAACAATACATGGCCGGTTCCTTACCTTCAGAGTGAGCTAAGAATCGGAACTGTGCATGACTGCTTTGTCATGAAATGCAGAAGATTTAGAACCTTTGCCTGGGGCTTGACGCTGTCTCAAAATTTATAACGAAAATTATTCCCATCTGAATAATCCGAGTGTCTCCTCTCCTAGAACCCAGGGATGCTGGCAGGAAGCTGGAGGACAAGGCTACTGGAGCATCCCACTTGATTCAGACACTGGAAGCCAACCCAGGCTGGGAATTTCTTGGGCTTTTTTTCATGGAAACATCAACTAAGGCTTTTATAACTCAGAGGGCAAATCTAACAGGAGCAGAGAATGTCTATTCCCAACCCCCAAAGTTAAACTAAGCATTTGTCATCTCCCAATAGTACACACCAATCTTCTCACGTCTGGATCCAAAGCCCTGGAAAAGAGAATTCTCAAAACATTTCTAGATGAGTGTAAATAGAATGACGTTTCCAGCTCATTCAAATTTCCACTGACTGTTTTCAGATTTTAGAATCACCAAAATGACTGGCATAACTGTTTCACTGTCAGATTCCAGACAAAATGTACAAACATATTTCAGTGTTTCATGGTGAATAACGTAAGTTTATCATGTTTCCAAGGTAGTAACCGTTGGGATTTTTGGTTCCAAAGTGGTCTAGAGTATGGCTTTGGGGGGCAGGTATAGTAATAATATAGAAATAATATAGAAAAATGAAAATAATTTGAATGCACTAAAAAGCAATATATTCCATGTCAAAATATACGGGATAAACTAATTATTATGGAAGTAGAAATATCATAAATTATTTAGTAATTGCTGGAATTTGTGTGTGTGTGTGTGTGATATGAAAAACATTACAGGGTGATAATTTCTCATCAGAAGCACAATAGTAATAGTAATAGTAATAAAACAACAGCAACAGCTATGGCTTTATATGGTGAAGCCATATAAAGCCAATGTGAAAGTATTTGGAGTAAGGAAGTAATTAAGGTTAACTGAAGTCATAAAGATGGGGCCTTGATCCAATAGGATTAGTGTCTTTGTAAGAAGGGACACCAAAATACTCATTCTCTCTCCTCTCTATGGTATTTTGTTACGGCAGCTCATGCTGATAAACACAGCAACTAACATCTATTGAGCCCGCTATACCAGGAATGTTCTAAGTGCTTTACATGTATGGATTCATCTAAATATGACAGCCCTGTAAGGCAGCACTTTTCCTAGCTCCATTATACAGATGAGAAACTGAGGCATGGAGAGATTGGTAATTTGCCTTTGGTCACACAGCTAAAAAAGAGCTGAGCCAGGATTCAAACCCGTGCAGTTTGAGTCTGCAACCCATGCTCTTAACCACATCTCTGTATTGCCAAAATCAGAACAAGAATATCTGATGACATTTTTGTGGAGGTATATTTCTAAGTTAAAAAAGAGTGCAGGTTACAAAATAGGGTGTTGAGCATGAGATGATCCCACTGGGAAAAAAAAATACATATAGTTATAAAAATGTCATAGCTGTCTCTTTAGGATAGAGAAAATGATAGAAACGAACCACCTGACCCCATGTCTTTCACACATCTATTCCAGAAAAAGCTCCTACTATGTACCAGGCACCATGCAGTGTGATAAAAAAAAAAAAAATAGAAGAGGCCCCTTCCTTGCTCTGCAAATACTCCAGACAGGGGCGGGAAGGGGTAGGGGAGACAGATAACGAATGGACAAATGACTTATTTCAATGTGTGATAAGTGCCATGAAGTAAAAGGACAAGATGCAGGGATGATGGGTGGAAAGGGAACAGCTTTTTGAGGAGGTGACATTTAGGCCAAGATGTGAAGAATGGGAAAAAGAATTGTCCATGTGGAGAGAGGGAAGAGCACGTGAAGGTGCTTTGCAGTAAGCAGTAGCTGAGGAACTCTAGCTTGTTCGTGCTTGCATCTGCGAAGCCCAAAATGGTGCCTGGTATACAGTAGGCACCCAACCTAGAGACATCAAATGAATTGTCTGTGGTCGAGAATTGCATCAGAAATGAGGCTGCAGAGAACCAAGAACATGCCAGCTAAACCCACCATTGAACCGAGTTTACAGATCACTTACTTGGTAGCTGGAGTCTTTCCCATTTATTTCTTCTGAGTGGGTGATCCCTCCATCCCCTTTCACTGACTAAAATAACAAACAGACAATGGCCTTTCAGCTACCACAAGCACAGCAACATGGAGAATGCAAGGGAGGTTGTGAAATGGATATAACCTCAGTCATTCATTGTTGAGATTCAAGGTCAGGACAAATGGAAGACCAACTAGCAACGCATTCCTCATGAGTCACATGATTTCCACGCGGTCTATAACCAGAGTCTGATTAAATTCAAGTGTTGGTCTCCAAAAATAACTACAATAAAAGTCTTAAACCCTGGGATTAGGTAATTCTGGGATACATGAATGATGATGAAAATACTGATGTTGGAACCAGAAGGTGGCTGAACATATAGAATGAATGAATAAGTAAATAAACAATTAAACCATTGGTAGCTATCTATTGGTAACATTTACGTGGTGGGTGTTTTGTTGTAGTATTTTTTGCCCCTGGCAGACAGATGGACTGTCGAACATTCTATTTTCCAATCTTTAGCGCCCCCTGTGGCCAGTGGCATCAGGGACAGGGCTGAATGGGGCTGACGTCACAGATTTGGGTCCTTAAATCAACAATCTAAGCTAAAGGTTCTAAAAGTGTGATACCGGGACCAGCAGCTTCAGCATCACCTGGGAATTTGATAGAAATACAAAACCTGAGAACTACACCAGATCTACTGAGTCAATAACTCTCGGGGCTGGGACCCAGCTATCTGTGTTTTAATAAGCCCTCCAGGTGATTCTGAGGCATCACTGCTTTAAGCTAACTGGCCATAGACAAATACGGACCAGTACTGGGGTCTGTAGTTTTAGCTGTGGATTTAGTAATGTTCTAGGCTGGAGGCTTGATAAAAGACCTAAGAAATCTGGCAATGAATTGTTCAGTTCTTATTAACAATTTGGACTCAGGTCTAACCCCACATATTTTTTCAATGCTTATGGTCTTCTCCTGGCTAGAGGGAGGGATTGTAGAATTGGAGGTTAAGCTCTGTGGCACAAAGAGGAAGACTTTGGATTCCACTGTTATTATCTTGGCTGTTCTGCTTGTGGATAGCAAGAACCTATATAACACCCGCACGAAGAACAGTTACAAACATTAAAGTATTCAGTACTTTTTTTTACTGGTTAATGTTATGGGCCTCTATAATCTGAGATAGGGTACTCATATTAGCAGAGATAATAAAAATTATTATTTATGAAGGCTAACTTTTAGTGGAGTGCTAAGTGCCCGGAACTGTACTAAATGAGATAATAACATGCGTTAGTTCATTTATTTATCACTCCGGAGTCTTAAGATAGAGGAACAATTTTATTGCTCTTGTTTTACCGGCAAAAAAATGGAAGCTTCGAGAAAATAACATGCGTCATGGAAGTAGCAGGTTGGGAGCCACGATTTGGCAATGAGTCCATCTTCTGCATTCTTATTTATTTTTTTAGTTTTGGCTGCTTTTGGGTCTTCGTTGCTGCACGCGGGCTTTTCTCTGGTTGCGACTTCATTGTAGCGTGCGGGCTTCTCATTGCGGTGGCTTCTCTTGTTGCGGAGCACGGGCTTTAGGCGCACGGGCTTCAGTAGCCGTGGCTCGTGGGCTCTAGAGCGCAGCCTCAGTAGTTGTGGCAAACGGGCTTAGTTGCTCCGCGGCATGTGGGATCTTCTGGGACCAGGGCTCGAACCCGTGTCTCCTGCATCAGCAGGCGGATTCTTAACCACTGCACCACCGGGCAAGCCCCATCTTCTACGTTCTTAACCTCCTCCCCACACTGCCCCTAGAAGGTAGGAGGTACCATTCAACAAACAAACACTTACTGAGCATCTACTATGAAGCTACCTAATTAGGAAAAATGATAAGGGCTTGCATAAGGTGGAGGTTGAAAATCTCAAACAGGGATATTTATGGGACATGCCTATCATCAGGGCACAAATATGCTTATCTTTACTGCTTGGTGCTGTTCTCTGATTCAGAAGACTTGACTAGGACTGTCTCTGGTTGAACACAGTATGAGAATTCCAATACCCTTCCTACCCCCAAAGCAACCTTTCCAGGGCTATAGGCTACTAGGGCCTTGATATTTACTTCTTCATTGATTAGGAAAGGAGAAGCCATTCCTGAACTTTCTTCAGCCTGAACTCCCGGCGTCTGGAAGTTCCATGCACTTTTCTTAGAGATATCATTGTCACGGGTTTCCCCAAGCTGCTCAACCCAAACGCAAATAAGGATCTGTTCTCTATGTGCAATTTAGACCCATTCAGATGGAAGGTGGTTTTTTTCTTCCTCTCGGTCTTCTGCATCGTTCTACAAGGACCAATCTTCTTGAGAACATTTAGAAAAAGAAAGGGCTCTCAGTTATTATTTCTCTCCCTGCAACTAGCTCTTTCAGCTCTCACCCAAGAGTTTTACCACTTTGGGATTTCACGGGGCCTCCAGAATTCAGGCTGTGTTGTAACTGCCCTGCCTACTCAAATATACTCCCTAGGGTCCTGTAGAATACCGGGTCCTGTCCTCACGAGGCGGCCTTTAGGGAATGCTGAAAGGCAAAAACCAACCAACCAACGTGGGTTTTTAAGGCAAAACCTGAATGGATAATTAGGAGTCATGTTACACCCGCTAAGAGAGAGAGATTTTTAACTGCTCTTTAATTGTTTCAATTTGGTTAGTGTTAGGTACCTGCCAGTTTAAGGTTAAAATTGATTTTCTTCTTCCTTCCTTTCCTAGCTAGCCCTTGAGGGGGAATTTGGATTGAATCAGAAGGCTCCCTTGACAGTAGTGGATCTAGGCTACTACCATCCTGAAAACAGACCCTCATGCTGCCAGGGAAATCATTGCAAATAGGTTCAAATTCTTTAAAAAAAAAAAAAAAAAAAAAGGGAAAAAACCTCGAGTTTTTCTATGATTTTTCTCTGTTGTTCACTTTGAGGCATATAAAACTGTATTTATGCAAAGGTGACTGTATGCTGAGTTTAGACTAAGGGTCTTATTAAGTCCATCTGAGGTCTCTTCAATACCTGCAGTTATTAACAACTCCTCCCCTCCTTCCTCCCTCCTTCCTTCCCTTCTTTCCTTTCTCCTTCCCTCTCTCCCTCTCTCCTTTGTTTTCTTTCTACCCCTCCTCTTTCCTCTTTGCAGAGCCCTCTTTCAGTGACAAATTAAAATAGTTCCTGTAGGGCTTTCTATTCAAAGGACCATAACCTCAGAAGCTTATTTTTCCCAGCTGTCACAAAAAACAGAGTTGCTGTTTAAAGAGACAAAAATGCTTTCAGAGACTATTTAGTACTTTAAAGAACAGTTTGAAGACTATTAAGTAATTGTGGAGATTTCCCAGTGTGATACTGAGCAAGTTTCTTTACAAAGAGTTTATTTTTATTCACGAGAATCAAAGATGAAGCATCTCAGGGCATCCAGCCTGCGGTGCTGAAATGGGATCTGGTTGTGAATCCAAGCCTTGCATATTAATGAAATCACTTTTAAATTTCTTTCATTGTGTCATGCATTCCTATAGCTTGATACTCTGAAGAATGTTTGAAGCATCTCCGATATATATCACTTAGGTACTTAAAATTCTAGTGGAAGTGTTTGATGGTCAGTTCAAATCTCTTTGAAAGGAATACAAATGTATTTTGATAGAGATCTATTCCAACTGAAGTTGAGATTTAAAGGAAGAATTGGGATATTTTAATTTAGTGTGAGGAGAGGAGCCCGACTGTTTACTAAATCAACCTCATTACAACAGATCTAAAGAACTGGACCTGCTAGAAAGTTCCAGGATAAACAAAGGTTATGAGTCCCTTCTTTGTGTTTTACCAAGACGCTCACCTGAAATGGAATTGGACAATTCAGACAAAATGACACAGCCAGGGTAAATCTCACTCTAGTGACAAGTATATTCAGAAAACTTTCGTCCAGGCTTTATGTAAGACATGTATGAATTCTGCTTTCTTGTGCTTTGCTGTAATTTCAGGTAGAGAATCACGAAAATGGAGCTATGGTTGTTCTATTTACTCTCAGAGAAAATAGCTGCCAGAAGCACAGGAGGCAGCAATAACAAGGGTCAGCTTTAGAAGCAACGAAAGCCTGACTGAATTCTGGCTCTGCTGTTGACCAGCTCCGCGACCTTGGTTAAGTGACCTTTAAGGTCACTTAAACGCTGAGTCTTCGTGCCCTCATCTGCACAGTGGGGCAGTAAGAGTGTTTGTTTCACAGGGTTTTTATATTAATAAATGAGTTAATGCATGCAATGTGCTTAGCCTGGGCCTGGCCACATCATTTGCATGCAAAAAACAAACAGTAGCTATTATAATAATATTATTATTATTAATAGCTGAGACCCACCAAATGACTCCAGAGTCCCCTTTTAGGGTAGGAAAGAATGCAAGTCGCCGATGGAGACAGGAATTGCCCCAAACAAATGCTACTTTCAGAAACCTCACCTTAAAGAACAACTCAATATTCATATTTTAATATTCAGGGAAGAAGCTGAGATCAAAAACTTTGGCTAAAAGACTCCTGTTTGTTGTTTTATAATTATCCTTACAAACTATTCTCCTTTTTCCACAAGACAGTCAATTTCAGCAGGTTTTCTTACATTTATTCGATTGAATGTAATTAACAAAATCCCTCTGAGTTCATGGCTGTCTCACTTGGGCCTTTAATTTGCCCAGTATTTAAAGTTCAAGAGTCTTTCTTATCTAAGCCTGAGAAGGTTATTCCAACAAAGAGTTTCTTACAAAACTAATGGTCTAAAGAAAGAGACAGGAAGAGGATTAAATGAAACAATGCATGTGACAATAGTTTGCAGGAGAAAGCACTTTTCAAGTGTAAGGTGTTATTAATATTGACAAAGTATAAATCTGTATCTTTGTATTTCCATCCACCACCTTTTCTGGTTTCATCTGCCTACCTGGTTTGTGGGTACATGAATACAGTTCTCCACCCACGCACTTTGTAAAAATATAACTAGAGCTTCAGATAGCCAATTTCTTGACATACCGTTGAATTAATACACATAAGACTCTTTTTCTATTTAGGGCGTGACAGATGTCTTAGCTATTCCTTGCAATTTTTTCGAAAGTCTGTAGGAACCCATAGGATTTTTGTGAAGTGCTATATATCTACATGTGCGCAATGCAATGTTAGGACTTATATGACTCTATTTTCTTTTCCCTGAAATATAATTATTTGAAAAGTGATCTTTCTATTTTTGGGAAAGATTAGTTTCTGGAAAGAAAAAGATCACTTTAGAAATGAACTGGGAAATGCATTTATTTAAAAAAAAAAATACTCAACCAAGAAGTACCTTGCCATGGGATAGTAAAATACGCTACCTGAAAGAAATTTAAGGGAAGGGAAGGCTAGAAAGTAGAAAATCAATGATCAGATGAATGGAAACCCTGATTACAAAACAAGGGTGATGTGTTTGCAATTGAGTTTTCTCTTCTATTAAATCAATTATTTAAAAAAACTATATTTTGCTAAAAATACTTAAAATCAGTTTAAAACATTCACTTATTCAACTATAATGCTCAGGCACATACTAAAAAAAATAGAAAATAAAAATCCCATAGCGATGGGCCAGATGCTGCCTCTGTCTTCAAGCCCTTGAAGCAGTATTTTGTTTGTTTGTTTGTTTTTCCCTACATAAATCCAAAGACTTTAGTTTGGAAGCTATGAAATATTACCCAAAAGTGTTTCCTGAAAAAAACTGCTGAAGCTGACTTGCAGGATTCTACACTATGGGGATATTAACACCTGGGCAAAAAGTAGACGTATAACGATATTCATGCAAATTAGTAAAGCAGCTGAGATCACGTGTGGAAGATACATGGTGCTTGCTCACTGAATATGGCACAGACTTCAAAATAAGTCTGTTTTCCTTACTAGGCTTTGTTCTCCATGAGGACAGGGACCACATCTATTTACGTATCTGTATCGTCTAGAATATAGTGGGAGCTTAATAATTATTTGTTGAATAACTGAATAAATGAAATGCAGATAGTTGGAAACCAAATGTCCATCCATAGTGCAACGGTTAATCAGAACATGATAAACCTAGACAATGTGGTTCAATGAAGTTCTTATAAAGCGTGAGATGGCTCTGTATCTGGGGCTGCAAACTCAAATACCCATGGGATAGACCAGAAATGTCAACGAGGGAGGTGGCCTGGGTGGGGCAATAGGGAGTGGTGGGAATTGTGGTAAACTTGAAAAAACCCCTGTCTTTTGTGTATCTGAATTAACTGCAATGGGAATATAATGTTCTGATGAAAACAAAACAGAATGCAAGACCAGAATAATTAAGAAATCTGGAATTTTAGGGGAAATCTCAACAATCATGGAAGCTCGGGGGTTTAAACATTAAAAGGAAGCAATAATATTCAAACTCCCAGGTTATAACCCTTTTAGTGGGCAACAGGAAATAAGAACAATGGACCTTATAAGACCTGGCACTGTGAAGTGACGGAGGATTACTTGGGGAAATGTGTCCCTTTCTACTCCATCCCTATCCTGTGGGGAATCAATTCCAAACGACTCTTGTTTCCAATTTGTTCAGACGTACACAGTTTCTACTGCTAGAAAATATCCCCAAACAGCATCTAATGGATAACTCCAGAGGACGAATTTAAGTATGGAACCTCACTTGAATTGAAGGATTTGTTTTGAATGGATGCATTGGGTGGTTTAGAGGTCTTTCGTGCTTTATTTGGAGTCTCTTGTATTTTCCTCCCTTTTAAACGAAGCAGTCTCATGTTGATTATTTGGAAGAGAAAGTCATTCTGTTTTTGCTTTTTTCTTTTTGTATCTCTCAACTCCATCCAGAAACGAGAAAGCTGGACCATCCTCAATGTTGTGATGAGCTATTTGGGGATCCCATTTGTAATGTAGATGGGTTGCCAGAAAGAGGCCAAATGTTCTTTTCTTTCCTGATGTCATGTAAAAATTGATTTGAAAATCTCAAATCTTGATGCCCGTTTTCAGTGCCAAATTGCAGAATCAATGGCCAGGAATATAGATGGGGTTCCAGCCATGCAGGCTGCCCAGCACTTCTTAACTCCATGAGAATTCAGCAATAAAAGAAAATGATTCCTGTCAACAGTTTCTAACAGTGATTTCTAATATTCCTCATCTCCCACTGGCAAGGGTTTTGTTCTGTTTTGTTTTGTGGACTAGAAAGAATTCCTTAACAGATTGAGCTTGTGAAATTAGAGAGTTGCTTTCTCAAAGGATTAATTCCCAAATACTCCTGAAAATAAAGGCACACTATAATGAAATTCTTGTTTTTCATTAAAAGAGAATTAAACCAATGACCTTTTTACATGGTTTTTTGGTTTTTTGTCTTCCAACCGATTGGGGTTTGATTGCATTATATTACTTCAGTTCCTGGATGTTTAGATATTTTATGCACATGACTCTTCACAGACGCCCAAAGATGTCTGCCCAGATTCTTTCCATTCTATAGAAACTAAAAACATGGCAAATTCACCAACTAAATTATACACCTTCACTATTAGGAAATCGTCATTTCCTTTCCTATCATACCCTTTCTGGAATTATCTGTAAACCAGCTTTGCCCAAATTTGTGTCACTCATACGTCCCCTTCAGAAGTTTTCCAACATCAAAATATAACTTGAACTATTAATTACTTAATCCTTTAAAAATGCCTTATGTTCTTTATGTAAATAAACGTATTTTCAAAGGAAACTGCGTATTATTACCATAATGAGGAAAATGGAATCATTTGCCAAATACACAGGGAAACTTTTAAAAATAAATAAAATTAAAAGTAGGCGACACTACTAACTTCCAGGTTGGTACTGTTGTCTCTGCCACAGCTCAGGAGCCCAGGCCAGCTCTTCTTTTGTTAAGAAGGCAGTTAGCAGAGAGGTTAAAGGTTAAGGAAAATGAGCAATAAAGAGAGACATTCTCTGTGATTAAATCAGGAGGACGAAAGGGAATTTTCTCAACTCCTATTCGGTTTATATTCCATCCATGCTACCTAGAATCATGTCTCACCACCTGACCTGGGCTCTTTGGTCTCAGAAGCTGATGTAGGTATTTCAGTTTCCCTGGACTGGAAGCAAGGGCTTACCATCTGTCTGAGAAGCGCCATCAGGGAGGGTCTCGGTGCTTTGCGTTCTGCTCTCCTGAGCGTTTCTTCTGCGGGTTCAGGTGTGCGATCTCCTTCGCTGAGATCCACTGTTTGTAAGGCTGATTCTCTTTCTTCGGACTTTACAGCCTCTACCTGTGATTCACACACCACCTGGATTGTTTTGCCAGGTAGTAAGACAGTGGGGAAAAAAAAAGAAACATCCCCCAGACATGTTTTATGAAGTGGGGTCCCGGTTCTCCCCTCAACCACATGGTAGCTACAGTTTGGAGTCTAGGTTATACACAGGCACATCTTGAAGAAGTAACAGTCACATCATATCATGTGCTCTCCAAATATGCTGATGTGGAAGAGACAAAATTACTGCCCTGTGAAGCTACAAGGCTTGGATAGGGAGTCCTTTTAAGGACTGCCCTTCAGAGCATGCTCAATACCCCTTCCAGTCAATCTATCAGACCCACCTGTTTGGTCTCCCATAAAGGTAAATCACAGCTGGCCTGTGTAATTATTTCCTTAAGAGTACAATCTTAGGACAGTGGCCGGGATGTTTTCCACTGCACATCCTAGCTCTCTGCAGCTGTGGAGAAACCGTCCTCTTTTGCAAGAAAGGGTAGTGTGAAAGCCTCTCAGTTTAATGGCCTTGACTTGCTTGTTAACTCATTTTCCCACTTCTCCCCAGACCAGTCACCTGTTCTTGTTACTTAACTGAAGTTCCTGCTTTCAGAAGCAGGATGAACTTGGCAAGAGAACCCCGGCTAAGTTCCTTGTGGCCTCCAGCAGGGTACCTCGTGAGCTCAGCGCCCATTGGATGTCTGAAAGGATGGCCACCAGTGGGGGGGCTGAGATGGAAGCCCTGCCCTTAGATGGTTCACCTGCGCTCTGATTCCAAATTTTGTTCATTTGCATTGCCTCACTCTGTTTGGGCTGTGCCCCAGTCACACCTGGGACAGCTTTTGTGTTTGCACTGGTCCCTGCAACGCGACAGTTAGTTGGCCTGGAAAGAGTTTTATAATTTCCTTTTCGTTTCCTCAGGCAGGGGTTGGCAAACTACTACCAAATTCATCCCAGAGCCCCTTTGAGGATGGCCCATGAGCTAAGAATAGATTCTACATTTTTTAAAGGGTTGGAAAAATTGTTTAAAAAGATGAAAAATTGGCAACGGAGACTCCATGTAGCCGGCAAAGTCTAAAACATTTACTATCTGGCCCTTTACACAAACACTTGTCATCTCTGCCGCAGAGGGACGTCCTCTAGAGCCAAAGGCATCTTTGCATTTGTTTTGGCTGGTGCCAGACCCCCAGCTTCCTCCGAATCCTGTTCTTGCTGTTAGGGAGGAGGGGAAGGGAACTTAGTCATTTCTAAAAACACAGAATGACTGTGGAGAAATCATTTTCCGTTCCTCCATGAGGAATATACCATTGGTTTGCAAATAACCCAAATGATCCAAATTGAGGAGGACCCTTCATCTTTATATTGTCAGCTGAAGCAGGAAGGTGCCCATCAACAAATCAGCATATAGAAACATCCCCAAACCTGGCAATTAAATCATAGCATTCTCTCCCCACCTTCCATTTCTTAAGATATTGACACAACTTGCAGCATTTTCCCTTCGAAATCTAAGATCTAGGTTGGGGAGTTATAAAGTCAAAAGTCCCCAGAATGCAAGGCAGGTGAAGTCAGCATGGATTGACCAGGTTTAAGACAAAAAGGAGTGGTGGGAACTACGACAAATGAAAGTTAAGCCGTCCCACTGAAAGACAGTAAAACACTAAAACCACTGGACAGTCAAACAAAGCACGACTGGGAGGAGGCTTCTGCTGCTGGGCTGTCTGTCTTCAACCCAGGCCTGTCTTTAAGAAACCAGGCAGAGACTAGAGCCAGATAAGAGACTGGATTAGTGGTTAAATGTGGTCCTGGGTTTCCACATCCAGGCCTGACTTAATTTAATTGCATTTCTGAAAAATAAGCTTCAGCCACAAGAGCCCTGGGGTACATCTGAAACGTAGGCAGCCTGACAGAGTGACCAGCTTGCCTGGGCCTAAATCTTGACCCTACCCCTTCCAGGGGCTCTAATCCAAGTTTCCTACTCCACATGTCTGTGCTTTCATTTCTCATTTCTTGATAGGGATAGTATGCACATCAGAAAGTTGTTCTGAGAATTAAATCAGGCAACACATGTAAAGTTCTTGGAACTGTGCCTGACATATAATAAGCACTTAATTAACACTAGCGGTTGTTACTTAGGCTATTTGAGAGCCATTTACTCCACGGACATGAATTATCTGGAATCACCCACCATGCACATGTCCACTATTTAGAGAAGATATCAATAACTATCTCTTACTATGTCAGACGTTGTACAAGGTATTTTTAATATATTACCTCAATAAAGAGTTACTGAGTTACTCAAGACAGCTCAGAGTAGGTAACATTATCCCCATCCTATAGATCAAGAATCGTAATGAGCGAATGACTTAGCCAAAGTCACACCACAGGCAAGTAGTCATTTCAATGAGGATGGAGTTGTTTACCAGTAACTGAATATCTAATAGTGACTTAACCAATAACAATATGGAAGAAGAAGGTTGAAAGTAGGAAGTTATGGGGTTGGTTCGGTGGCTTCACAGTGTTTCTATAACCTGGGCTCTTTCTATCCTTTGGCTCTGCCATCCTTGTCATGCTGAATTTTCATCCTTTTATCTGCCGCCTCATGGATATAAAGTAGTTGCCACAGTTCCATGCATCACATCCTCAGTCCAATGTCCTAAGAAGGAAGGACAGTCACAGCAAAAGAGTGGCTTCAAATGAACTTCTGTATTTTGATCCTCTACTCAGGGTACATTTCATTGACCAAAAGTAGGTCACATCCTTACCCCTTGACTAATTATTGGTGAAGAAAATGGGATTGTTGGTTTAGACAAATCACAGTGAATACTTTGGGGTTGCCAACCTTACCTAAGATCAAGAGAAAAAGGGTGGAGGAATGGGAAATGGCCCTTAGGTAGGTAATGAACAGAGTCTGACTCACTGACTCTGGGTTCAGATTTATTTGTGATTGAAGCAGCAAGTTCATTTTTTGTGTGGAGAGCCTGGAGGGCCATTTACTCATATGATAAAATGATTGTATGGGAATAACTCTGCACATCAACTTTATTTGAGCGCCAATGGTTTTCTTACTGGACCTTTCCAAATGTCAAGGGGTGTCAACTTATAAATCCTAGCCCAGAGTCCATTCTTCAAAACACAACTATTTCAGTAGGAAGAAAAAAAGGGACTTCTAGGGACTCTCATTAGCTTTGAAGTCAGGCCAAGAAGTTGGCTTTCAGCAGCCAAGAAAAAAAAAAAAATCCACTGACATCCAGCGTGGAAATCTAGAAGGATTCGAGCTAAGTGAGGATCTGATTTGCATATACAGACATAAGAATTTGATTTTTATTTGGATAGCTTTCTGATTCCTTTCCAGGCCAGAGCTTTGGAAAAAGTTTTTCCTTATTCAGAATATATGACTGCATCTGCACATTTTAACTTTGGGTACAGTGGACAGAGTGAAAATCAGATTTGTGTTATATTTTAGAATGAAATCTCCCTTGCTTGATTTCAGTAGGGGATATTGTATGTTGCATGTAGATGGCTAGTACAATTAACACGGACAATACACATTTCAGCAAAAGGTTTCACTTTTTGCCCCAGTAATATACCATATTTACTCTTAAAATTTGGTTTACACAGTTTTTACTAGAGCTGTGAGTTTCAGAAACTGATTTATAGCAAAATGGATTTCCTCCACTTAAACTTCACCCATGACATAATATTGATATTAAAATTTTTTATTATAGAACCTTATTTGGATTCGTTCTGATTTGATTTATAACATGATTATTTAATTGCAAAGACACTGTAGAGATTTTATTTTTATACCCAGTAACTCTTTCACATTCTTCCTCATTCTCAGCCCCCTAAGTTTTCTTTGGGAGGACAATCCTCCCTAACTTTAATACTATGTAATATGGATGAAGCTGGTTGAGCAGGTCTAAGCCAAATAACATGGTCTAGCTCCTTGGTCATATGAGTTCAGGGATGGGAATATGTGGCAGAAAGTAGAATTTTCCCAATTATTCATTCTGCCTTCCTATAAGAGAATTACACATGCGTGCCCACTGCTGTGTGACTTGCTTTGCAGAATGGAATGTGAGTGGACATGATATAAACCTCGACTGAGTGAAAGTTTTAAGAGCTATTCTATGGCTCAGCCATGGCACTATTTTCTCTCTGCCATTCCAGCTGCACCTCCTTGTTGAAGGGGCTGCTTTTTCCATCTAGATTTCTGTAGGAAGTGGCCATAAGGATCACCCACAAGCCAACTTACAGCTGATATGCAGTGTGAGAAAAAAAAAAAAAAGAATCTGTGCTGTTGAAAACCACTGGAATTTGGGGCTTGGTTGTTATTGCAACACAACCTGGCAGATGCTGACTAACAGAGCATGGGAACCCGTTTAAGTCAATGAACAGGAACAAATTCCAGGACATGCAGGGTTGCTGCTGGACCAGTTTCTCCTTTACTCTGCACTGGCTGACATGATGTTGGAAGGCAGAGGACATAGCCAGGCCAAGAAGGCTGAGCCAAGGGAGAGCATGAGAGCCAATAAATTCCACTTTCTTTTTAATCCAGGTAGAGATGGGTTTTCTTTCACTTGCAACTGAGAAGTTCATCACTAAGAAAGAGAAATACCTGTTTCCCTGATGTAATAGGTCACTGGGAAGGAAAGCTCCCACCCCCGCCCCCATCCCCCCACCATTAGTTAGAACATTACCTCAATTAACCAGTGGTCAAAACGTTTTCAGGTTACAACAAAAGAATTCAATATTTTCTGTAGTCAGGATAAACAGATTTTTTTTTCCTCTTAGGACCAAAGGCTCATTCTAGGAAAAGCGTTAAAACTTCCAGGGGCTTCAAGCACCTTATTTTTCTTTTTATTAAACATTTTGAAAAATGTTGACATCAGCCTGCTCTTTACTTTGCACTGGGTGATAGATCAGTTTTGGAAATTCTCGGTAGAGAAACTTTAAAAACTAAACTCAATCGCATTTCAGCCAGAAGAAGCTGAGACTGTTTCAGGACTCTTGTAATATGGTTAATGACACCTAACTGTCCTGTTCTGAAGGTTTAGAGTATTATCCATTGTTTTGATTAACACCATCTCTCTTACTTGGGAGAAGGAAATTAAACTAATTGTTTTACACATACCTTCACTCCACATGGACACTGAGTCAGCTGTGAGGTGTGTAATTTCATGAGGAAATATAATCCCTGATTACTGGGAAGCACTCACTTCCTGTTGTTACAACTCCTATGCATTGACATCCCCGCAGGGGGAGGCAAACTCTTCCTGCAAAGGGCCTTGCAATTAGTCAGCTCTGCCCTTGTAGCATGAAAGCAGCCAGAGACTGTGTAAAGGAAGGAGGGTGTCTGTGTTCTAATAAAACTTTATTCATAAACACTGAAATTTGCATTTTGTATAATGTTCACGCATCACAAAATATTATTCTTCTTTTGATTTTTCTTCAACCATTCAAGATGTAAGAACCACTCTTAGCTCATGGGCCATACAAACACAGGTGATGGGCTAGATTTGGCCCATGAATGGTAGTTTGCCAACCCCTGAATTACAGAGTTCTTCCTGTGTTTCAGGCACTGAAATACGCATACTACCTGCATTACTCATTTAATTCTCACAAGAATCCTAAGGGGTAGGTAATGTTATTACGGCCATTTAAGAGATGAGTAAACTGAGGTCCAAGAGGCAGCACTGCCTGGGGATGATGGGGCCAAGATCACAACATTTTAGCCTCATTCTTTCCAACTAATAGTTAGGAGATGAAATGTGGAAGCTTAAAAATAGAAACATCATTTGTAGGACTAAGCAATTTAAAGCGATTTTTAAATGCTTCTTTATTTTCTTGACAAAAATATTGGGTTGGCCAAAAAGTTCGTTTGGGCTTTTCCATAAGATATTACAGAAAAACCTGAACGGAATTTTTGGCCATCCCACTATTTTGCTTTCATTTGTATCTTTATCTGATTTTGTGTTATCTTTCAGTATCAATCATTTAACTAATTCATGTTATTTTTCTGTTTCAAATTTGAAAGTGAAACACATTCTGTTTGCCCGCTGGAGATCGATTCTGCATTTTCACATGCGAGCTCCAAGAGACACTAGGTTCCTCGGATAGGCAACTACACACGAACATCCAAAAAGAAGTTTCTCTTCCAAAAACTTGGAACTTGGAAGCTAACAGCTGCCCTGGATTTAACCTGCAGCTTTCAAATTTAAAGTTCATGGGAGGAAGACCCATGGAGTTCCCTCTTGTAGGCTGCTGAAACAGAGACCTAGACTTGCTAGAAAATAGCCAGCAAATTCATGAGAATTCGAATTACAAGAGACCTGAGCTTTGTGAGCTACTAAATTTGGCTCCAAAAAGAAATGGGGGGGGCGGAGAAGAAGAAGAAGGAGGGG